TGAGATAAAAGAAACAAAGTATCCTTTAGCTCTGGGGAACGTTGCAGCTAATTCTGCGAGCTATAGTGAAGAAAAAAAAGCTGGCAATTGCATTTAAAAATCGGCACCGACATACACTTCGTATTGCAAAAAAATTTTGTAAAAAATTTGTAAACTGAGACATTATTATCAGTGGATTTTCATTTGTAGACCGAAATTTACATTAACCGAGGCGTTTGTAAACTGATGTACACCTGTAGTACCTTTCAACTGAGGTACTTAGTAGATGTAGGCAGGAGCACCAGGTATTTTACTTGAATGTTGCAGATTTTAACCACTTCAGCTCTCACAGTTGTACATTCCCTATGGACCTGAGCAATTTTTAAATTCTGTTATGGGCCTGTTTATTCAATAACTTTGTCATTACTTAAGATAAAAACATAATACATATATTGTTTTTTTTTAAGGACAAACAAGGATTTATTTTTGTGAATATTTTGGGGCATGTGTTACATTTTCAGAGTCTGCAACTGGTTAAAGTTTCTTTTGAAACTACATTAAAATGTTATGAGATTTTAGTGATTGGGTTTCCATATATTTTATGGTCAAATCAGGCAGGACAGCCTTTTTTTTGTTTACAGTGTAGTGGTAACCAGTATTACATATTGAATGCTTATTTTAAATTTGATGTTTTAGAGCATAGTAAAATTATTGGAACATGTCTATGAAAGGATCATCATTTTGGCCATAACTTAAATTGTATTTGAGAACCAGTATTTTTGCTGTATATATGACTGAAAATTCTGATCAGCTCCTATACAACATTAATGTGAGCGGACCTGTTACTACAGCCAATAAAATACAGGCAAACACTGGTAACAGCAACTTTGTAATGTGTTCCACTTTAGTTCATTTAAATTTCAACTGACAATAGATTATTCCAGCTTTAAGTAACATATAACCCATGGGATTTGTAATGACGTCTGTACATTCCACTGCTTCTCTTTCCCAAAGGACAGCAAACCCTTCAATTACCTCCTTCAGAGTTTTTATAATGCCAGAACTCTTTACAATCTGCATAAAATATTCCTTTTTCGCTCAGAAGATTCCAAAAAGACTTAACCACAAATAATTCTCACAACTAGCTATCCACAGATTACTTATTCTAACATAAAAAATTATTGAGGTGCAATATTCAAAATATGATTTTCCACATTAATGTTTATTGATTAATTGTTGAATTTATAGCCAATACAATTTGTATTTAGATATAATGCTAAAACATACATGTTTAATAAAAAATCAAAATAATTCAGTGAACACTGGTAAATTAATAATAGGTGAGACAGTATCACTTCAAAATGAAAGTACAGTCTTTTCAACATTTTTTTTTAAATATTTTATGTGTGAGAGATCAACTCGATGCAAATATTTTTTCAGAGTGTACTAGTGTTTTATTAGCCTTCTTCTGCATTATGTATAGTTAGTAATTATATATGTACATAGAGAATCCATATTTGTCCATTACATGTGCAGCCTCTACTTTTCGCATTGCAGTGTTACACAATGAGGTTGATGAAAGGCTGTCATTTAACAAAGTGAATTTTGGTAAATAAAGTAAATCACTGTTCACACTGAATACCAAATTATTGTATGTGTGAAGGGATTAAAAACATGACTTCACCTTATTTAGTGACATACAATTTGCAAAGTAAAGCTTCACTGTGTTATGTGAGCAGCCTCTACTCCTATAACAACTCAACACCAATGGATATTGTAGTGATTTTTGACTCATTATTAAAGAAAATAATATTCTTCAAAATATAGTTCTAAGGCCAGCTGTTATCTGTCAGCCAGTTTGCAAGACCAGGTGTCTGCCTGATGAGGAAACCTCAACAAGGAGTGTCAATAACCTAGTTAGATCACAAGTCATATAATCAACCTTGAGAACCACAAACCTTAGACAAAAGAGGGCCATAAATGACAATTGTGGGACTCTATTCTTCTTTACATACAGATTTGGGAGACCGGACAGAAACAATGTAAGACCTTGCAGAATATTTACTAGCCCTCAAGGATGTCACAATTGCCTATTTATTAACAGGAGGTCAGTCTATCCCGGGAATCCACACTTATCAGTTGAAATGAAGCCAATGTCTTAGGGAAAGTCAACTAAATGTTTACCACTGGGACACAAATAGACAGCTAATCTCACACACTCTCAAATACACTTCCCAGGTGCCATTAGGCTGAGAACTTTGAAACTCAGTTGCCAAACTGGATTTAAAACGAAACAGCTGACATTTTCAAAATATAATATGTATATATACAGTATATACCAGGACCCTGAAGTCAATTTAATAAGTTGGATACTACAAAAGGATCAACTGAATATCATTAAGTCATAAGGACATATGAGATGGTTTGTGATTTGGAGTAAGTTATATTTCAAAACAAATATACAACAACACATGTACCTACATCAAGATGTAGAGCGATACGACATATATCACATAATGGACTGGAATTAAATACACAAAATCTGATTTAATACCGTAACGTGGAAATACTATAGGGAGATCTACCATTTTCAGGACAAAGGTCAAACATCAAAACACAACTCTCATATAAGGAAAATGAACCGCTAAATCAACTTTTTTATATATATATATATATATATATATATATATATATATATGGACCTTATACAAAAGAGATATTGGGAAAAGCCATTTTCATATCTCAACAGGACACATCATTTTATCAATAGGGACATACTTCAGATAAAAGATGAGCCATCATTAAGATCACCATTTCATTCATGGTACTTGACTGCCCCCGATGGACAGGTAAAGAACTTGTCAGGGTCCTGTCCACGGCAGGAGTTCTGGAAGATCTTGGCATTTCTGCCAGTACTCTACATGACCGCAGAATTACAAATCAGCCTCACTCTGGTGCCAGACGGCCTTTATAAGGAGGCTCATCACTTCCTCTAGTTGCTGGATGATCTCTAGCTCCCCGTGCCCTGTTCCTGGTTCCTGTTTCCCTGTGATTCTGACTTGTGATTTATTGTTACCGACTCGGCTTGCTCCTGGACCTGTCTACTCTGATTTACCCCTGATCTGAACTCAGCTTGGCTTACGGATATTCTCTCTCTTTCGCTCTTCTCTGAATGACCTTGGTTATCCCATCTGACTACGACCGCTCTGATTCCCACCTGGCACCTGACCTTGGCTTGAACCGACTACCCAGTAAACATCCAAATCCCGAAAGGGCTTGCATACCACGCACAGGCGCCTCCTGTCTGCCAACCTATCTCCGTGCACCAGCTGTGCTTCTGAGTGGACCACCAACCAGCACTCCTACAGGCGACCTGTGCAACTTTGGGCCTGACTCCCGCTGTCCCACATCTCAGGGGAGTCCGGAACTTAGCTGCAAGGGAAGCCCTCTCTCCATTGGCCTCCATCACCAGGTACGTAATAGAACTTCCAAAATAAATGGCATTCTGACCATCCAATTGTCAAATACCGTGGGAGGTCTTACAAAACAATGGACATTTACCATATACTGTATATATGCGAGACTCTCATGAAGGAAGGACAACTTCACAACTTTGAAAACTTTAAACAGCTTACAACAACTTAAACCAACTTTAAAACCACTTGGAAAAGCTTGATAAAAACAGAAACCCTGCTCTACAAACGTTCTGCTATTTTTGAAGAACCAATTTTTAAAAGAAGCCATTTCGCCAGAGAAGAAACTTTCTGCTGCTGATCCCAATTTTTGCTTCTTGCTGACAAGAAATTTTTTTTTTTTACCAACTGCAATCCCATCGGAAGACCTCAGAAAACGTAATTCTGGCAGTGGTGAGAACTGTATCGGAATATCGTAACTTTTATACATTTAAAACTGAATAGAGCTTTAATCATATTTTATTGTGCTGGTTAGAGTAAGATTGTGCATATCTACATAATTTACATGGTGTACAGAGATTAATTGACTAGTAATTGTTCTAACTTTTTGGGTACTGATATCACATTGTGTACTAACATATTTGAAGTGTTTTGCTGTGGAATTTATCAGGAATACTTTCCTGATCCCCTTCGACGTGGGAATTGGAAATTATACCTTGAGCACTAACCAATAAGTACTAACTACTAAGAACTGTTTTATCATTGTGGTGATATATGTATTTTGTATTGTAATCCCATAGAGGGTATTGTGATATATTTTTGATTGTGTGCAGGGAGATACTCATCACCAGTACTTTTGTTTGTTTATATATATATATATATATATATATATATATATATATATAAATAAATATTTGTGCATAAATAAATAATTTATTTATCAAATTGGCAATATTTGTGTATATGGTAAGAAATCACATTGGTGAAAAGAACACAAGGAAAATTATAGTGTAGTGATAAATTATTAAGGTATCCATATTATTGGATTAATAATTCTGTTATTTGCCATATTTCACAGGCTAGAGGCACTGCATTATATTATTTACGGGAGTCGGGCACCACCCAATTTATTTAGAATTAATTTTCTCAAAAACCACCACAATATGCTTTATGGGCCATTCTCACAATGCAAGTGAACAGGGTTGACTTGCTAAAGGAGTGGAAACATTTAATTTGGCAGAGTGAATTTTCATTAAAGTAGAACTATAGGCCAAGCTTTGTTTTTCATTTTGGATAGAGTAAGGGAGGGTTATAACCTCTGTCACCTTTTTGTTTCCATTTGTGCCCCATTTAGGGAAATTTCCCTTCATTTCCTGCCCCATAGCTAAAACAGGAAAATCCCTGCAAATACCGTATTTTTCGCTCCATAAGATGCACCTGACCATAAGACGTGCCTAGGTTTTAGAGGAGAAAAACAAGAAAAAAATATTCTGAACCAATGGACTGCAGACATAGTACAGGAAATGACCAGAGACTGCGGACATACTACAGGAGATGACCAGAGACTGAGGACACAGTACAGGAGATGACCAGAGACTGAGGACACAGTACAGGAGATGACCAGAGACTGCGGACATAGTACAGTACACAGTACAGAGATGACCAGAGACTGCGGACACAGTACAGGAGATGACCAGAGACTGCAGGACACAGTACAGGAGATGACAGGACACAGTACAGGACCCAGAGACTGCGGACATAGTACAGGAGATGACCAGAGACTGCGGACACAGTACAGGGGATGACCAGAGACTGCAGACACAGTACAGGGGATGACCAGAGACTGCAGACACAGTACAGGGGATGACCAGAGACTGCGGACACAGTACAGGAGATGATTAGAGACTGCGGACATAGTACAGGAAATGACCAGAGATGGCAGACAGTACAGGAGATGACCACAGACTGCAGACAGTACAGGAGATGTCCAGAGACTGCAGACAGTACAGGGGATGACCAGAGACTGCAGACAGTATAGGGGATGACCAGAGACTGCGGACCCGCTCCCACTTCCACGAAGTTCTCCTCCCTTTACTGTGGGCACTCGCGGCTGTGACAGCGGGTGCCCACTGCGCAGGCGCGAGAAGCGCTGCACTTTGTGAATGGCCTGGTATCTTCTGGGACCTGTCATGTGTCCCACAAGACGCCAGACCATTCACAAAGCGCAGCGCTTCTCGTGCATGCGCAGTGGGCACCCGGCTGTCACAGATGCCGGCAAGGGAAGAAGCTGACGCAGGAAGACTGCACAGTGCTGGACCAAGGAACAGGTAAGGTCCTGCATCTGAGAACAACTGAGCAGCTGGCCTGGAATTCTGACATGGTGGCTGCGGAAATACCGCTTTATATTCGCTCCATAAGACGCACTGACTTTTTCCTCCCTTTTTGGGGGGGAAAAAAGTGCGTCTCATGGAGCGAAAAATACGGTAATTGGAATCCCTTGGAGACACCCAGGTCACTAGAACTAGTGTCCCCATTGGAAGAGTTTCCTCCCTATTACTTTTCTGGGGACAAGTTGGGATTTTCTTTTACCTCAGTACACTACGCAAACACACACACACACACACACACACACACACACACACACATCAATTTTCTAACTTGCTGTACCACATCGGTGGTTGTGAAAGGCAGGGGGGCTTTTGCACTGTCTTGAGGGCTCTGAATGAGGAAGAAGGAAGTCAATAATCTTCCTCCTTCCTCCTTCCTCACTATCCACCCATATAAACAAGCAGTTCTCCACTGACCACTGAGGCAAGGGGCACTTCTCCACTGACTACCCATGTAAGCGGGCACTTCTTGATTAACTACCATGATGAAGCTGCTGGGCTTTTATAGAACTAGCCTACCACGATGAGGGTACAGATAAATACCAATATGATAAGGGTTCTTATCTATACAGACCACCAATGTAAGATTACACTTTACTGACCATTTCCTTGAAAGGGCACACTAATTTTTTGTGGGACACATTGATTTGTTGCTATACACCAAGTTTCCAATGCTTTCTTACCATATGTGTTTTAATTCTACTGTACATCTCCACTTATACATTGCTAAGCAATCCATACAGTTGCAAGAAAAAGTATGTGAACCCCTGGGATTGCGTGGAGTTTAGCATGAATTGGGCATAAAATGTGCTCTGAACGTCATATAAGTCACAACAATTAAGAACACAGTCTGCTGAATATAATACTACACAAACATTAGATGTTGCCATGGTTTAATTGCACATAACATGTAAACATTCACAGAATTTGTTGAATTACTTGTATGCCTTGGGTCATTGTCCTGTTGCATCACCCATCCTCTACGGAGCTTCAGTTGGCGGACAGATGGTCGTACGTTTTCCTGCAAAATGTCTTGATAAACTCTGGAATTCATTTTCCCATCAATGACAACAATCCGTCCAGGCCCTGAGGCAGCAAAGCAGCCCCAAACCATGATGCTCCCTCCGCCATGTTTTACAGTGGGGATGAGCTTTTGATGTTGGTGTGCTGTGCCTTTTTTTCTCCACACATAGTGTTGTGTGTTCTTCCCAAACAACTCAATCTTGGTTTCATCTGTCCACAGTATATTTTGCCAGTAGTGCTGTGGAACATCCAGGTGCTCTTTTGCAAACTTCAAACGTGCTGCAATATTCTTTTTGGACAGCAATGGCTTCCACCGTGGTGTCCTCCCATGTACTCCATTCTTGTTTAATGTTTTCCTTATTGTAGATGTGTCAACAAAAATGTTAGCATGTGCCAGAGATTTTTGTAGGTCTTTAGCTGACACTCTGGGATTCTTCTTTACCTCATGCAGCATTCTGCGCTGTGCTCTTGCAGTGATTTTTACAGGACGACCACGCCTAGGGAGAGTAGCAACAGTGCTAAACTTTCTCCATTTGTAGACAGTCTGTCTTACCGTGAACACATGAACATCAAGGCTTTTGGAGATACTTTTGTAACCCTTTCCAGCTTCATGCAAGTCAACAATTCTTGATTGTAGGTCTTCTGAGAGCTCTTTTCTGCGAGGCATGGTTCACATCAGACAGTGCTTCTTGAAACCAGTAAACCCAAAACAGGTGTGTGTTTTTTTAAGGGCAGGACAGCTGTCAGCAACACATCCAATATCATCACACTGATTGGAGTCAAGGTTGGCTCACTCCTGGCTCCAATTAGCTCTGGGAGAAGTAATTAAGCTAGGGCCTCACATACTTTTTCCTCCCTGCACTGTGAATGTTTAAATGTTATGTGCAATTAAACCATGGCAACATCTAATGTTTGTGTAGTATTATGTTCAGCAGACTGTGTTCTTCTATTGTTGTGACTTAGATGACGTTCACAGCACATTTTATGCCCAATTCTAGCAAAACTCCACGTAATCCCAAGGGGTTCACATACTTTTTCTTGCAACTGTACACATCCACATGATGACTTTTCTTTTTTGTCCTCTATGCAGATATTGGTGTCCTTTTATGAAACAGAGATCAGCAGTGATCATAAGGATCACTGCTAATCTCATATCATTGGTGGTTTAGGGAACAGAGATGATCAGTGGAGAACATGTTCTCCGCTGATCATCTCCAGCACACAGACTGCCAGTGTATGAAGGAGTGATGTCAGGCCTTCACTGGCAATCTGTGTTCTCCCTCCAGATTCTCCAGCCCAGAGGTGGAGAATCGGGGGAACCGCAAACAAAGCAGCGATTTTTTACCACTGCTTAGTAAATGGTGTTTGACTGATCTCTTACTGTAATCTCATGAGATTACAGTAACAACAGCTGTTTTCTAGCATTCAAAGCCTTTGTAAATCGCTTTTCTCCTCATTCGGAGAAGCGATCTACACTGCTTCATAAAAAGGCATTCAGAGGAGAACTGTCTCCTCTGAGAACTGAGCAGCGGTCATTTAGCGCTGCATGATAAAAGGACACCATTGTTGTTTATGGTTTGACCATACCCATAAGATGTTGGTTTGAAAGTAATACCTCCATACAATCTTTTTTTTTTTGCTATTGGTGTTTACATTAATTTCTATTCTGAATTGTCATTTAAAAGAAAAACAATGAATTAGGATATATCTTAGATTGTAAGCTCCAAGGAGCAGGGCCTTCCTAACCCTCTTGTATTGAACTGTATGGTTGCTGTATTGTCTCCTGTTATATTGCAAAGCACTATGCAAACTATTGGCGCTATATAAATCCTGAATAATAAATGTTACAATGTACTGATAATATCACAGAAATACACTATATATTTACTGTATGTACTACTATAGATTCTTCTTTATTCAGTAATGATAGGAAGTACCTGGTGTATACTAAGTAATGGCCAGGACTACTGTTAATATTGAATAAACATTAACAAGGATTTAGCCAACTATGTTTATTTTATTCTATAATCTCTAATAAAGAGTCTTATTTTCACAGGCTGCTTTCAAAATTCTTAGATTAATGCATTATTATAATTTTTTTTCATTAAAAGATGAATCTATTTTTATTTGCTCACTTTTATCGGGCAGTCATTTGAAATGCTTCTAAATTGTTTTTAATATTATTCCAATTTAGCGTTTTTATTGTAAATGTCATTTACAGTAGTAAATTATTGTTTCCTGCACACTCTATCTCATTATCTCTGAATGATAATTTTTAATTACACACTTTGCCAATCTTCATGTCAGCTATAAAATAAAAAAGGACTTGTTTAATTATAGCAGAATTCTAATAACAAAGGTAATTTATTTTAAGGTGTAATCAATCGTCACCTCCTTATTTAAACATGCAATTACAATTCTTGTAACCTGTTATTGTAATCACTGTATATTTGAAAAATATCAACGTAGTCTAGAGCTAAAATATAATTCAGGTGTAAACTTCATTGTTTGTAGTAAACTGACACTTTTGTGTCCATTTCCTTTAATCCCCTTCACTTTCCCTCCCCTCTACTTACTCACCTCCTGCAGCACCCAATTAGTATGGGTAAAAGCAGAAAGGCCTGTGTAATTGGGCTTTTGTTCACGTCAGCTGGTTTTTGTATTCCTATACAAGTGTATGGGAATGCAAAACCTGCTTGAGGCAGGTCAAATGCAGGTCAGACTGTGGTCAATTGTAGGTCAATTACAACTGTAAATTAGAGAATATGTAAACCCTACATTTCATAGTCCTCATATGTGCCTGCTGTACCATGTACATGTATAACATAGTATCCTGCTTTCTTTTTATTGCTTCCTTTGTGTCAAATCCCTAGTGTTTCTGCAAGTCCCCCTGCTTTCCCTAGCAAAAAACTGGCCATACTAGGCATGAAAGCACACTCATGGTCAGTGTTCTAGCTTTGCTAGGAGCTAATCCAATAAACAGGCTTGTTCTGACATGCCCCCTCTGCACAGCCCCATTCACTGGGAAGTTCATTGTACTACGGCATCTCTTCCTGAGCTCCTTATGCAGCTGAGAACAGAGGATATGTGATCACTCATAAAAAAATGAAAAAAATAAATTTATTATGTTTTTATATCTATACACAAATGGTTTTCTTTTAATTTGTATTTTACCGCTTATGGATTGCCCTATAGCAGAATATACTGCTACAGGGCAGCACCTGTGCGCAAAATCACGTATATATTACAGTCATGGCCGAAATTGTTTGGCACCCTTGATATTTTTCCTTGAAAATCAAGTATTTCACACAAAAAGGTATTGCATTAACACATGTTTTGCTATACACATGTTTATTCCCTTTGTATGTATTGGAACAAATATAAAACAGAGGCAGAAAAGAAAAGCAAATATGGACATAATGATGTCACACAAAACCCCAAAAATGGGGCTGGACAAAAGTATTGGCACCCTTAACTTAATTTTTGGGTTGCACACCCTTTGGAAAACATAACTGAATCAGTCGCTTCCTATAACCATCAATAAGCTTCTGACACCTCTCAACCCGAATTTTGGACCACTCTTCCTTTGCAAACAGCTCCAGGTCTCTCTTATTGGAAGGACACACCTT